CAAATTTTCACAACCTTTCTTACATGCAAAATGCCGTGTGAACAATGCCGTGTGAAAAAGAGCCGAGATATACAAGCTGATATAAAAGAAAAAAACACAGAAAATCCAGAAAAAAATTATGTCATGAAAAATTTGAACTAAAGCTTTTAGTATTTTGTGCAATCCAGATGTGAGCAAAAATATGTTTCCGTTGAAACTACTCAAAATTAGGTCACTAAGCCGAAAAGGAAAGGCCGAAATCATTTGGGCAGATTAAAGTTTTAATAAGCCAACATTTTTTTGAAACGGACTATTAGCCATTTGAATAAAACATGATCAGTCAGATTCGAACCCAGGACCTTTGCCGTCCCAGGCGCAGTTGTTACTTCCATACCAAATGTGCCGCAGACGCAAAGAAACTTGAATTCACTATGCACAGAACCTTAATTTACCATTTCTAATTTTGACCACTCTGTGGGACAAATTTATTTACGGAGAAACAGTTTGGTACCCGATTGCAAAATCCTTGCTTGTCTTGATTAACAATCGGACAATTTGAATTGAAAAAAAAACTAACTTCCGGGTTCTCTTACATGTTCCCACTTTCATCGTAAAGTTAAAATAACTAGTTATCAATATCAACTGGGTATAGTGAGCATTTTAACTATTTGGAACACACTTGTTTTGAAACCTTACATTGTAGCGTCACATATTTAGCATAACATTATATAACAAAACTACAAACTAGAGGCAAAGTGGAGCTTCTAATCACTACGTAAGTGTGGCAGAACTACAGCACATAAAAGGAACGGCAAGCTAGCAAAAAATGAAGGAAAGAACAAAAGCAAAAAAGTGAAACTTTATAATTATTTTTGACGAAATAAAAAAAGATTAAATTTAAATTTTGAAACTACACAGCTCAACCGATCTAAAATTATTTTTCAAACTAATAATGAATTTTGCCCTTGAAACGACGCAAAAATAGGCTGACTAAGCATATATAACAATAATTACTCTGTTTTGGCCATGTAAAGCTTTTAGTCCATAAATAAAAAAAATAACAGAAATTATATTGAATCTCGTCTAGTAATTAAACAATCTACAGGCGAAAATCAACAGCACTTGCAACTACAACAAAAAATTCTTATAGAAAAAAAATCTTAGATAGGTCAACTTTTTTCTTCTTTTACCTTTTCTACGCAAAATTAGGTACCGCAAATAAGCATCGGACTAAGTTCAGTTATGTATCATATTAAAAATTTTTAGTCGTAATTTAAAAAGCTCTCAAAACTTTTTTTAATGTTGAGAGAAACCGGTGCAAAATTTTTGAGTTTTCGTCTATCTTTGAGGAGTGAGCAGGCTTACATTAGCTTAATGAAAGCATTGAAAAATTAATTTCATTCAAGTCAAGTTAGTTTTAAGCTCTTTATTAGGTATCAAAAAGATCAAAAATTCCAGAGAAAAAACTTGGAACATTTCAAAAAAAACTTGCTGGAAATTTAATTTTTTTTCACATTCTTTTTTCGTTTTTCTAGAGATTTTTTCAAAAAGTTTTTTCAATTTGCCCGTTTCACCATGACTGTTAAAGATGGCTAACTTTCATTTTTGCGTTCAGATCGTTTTATCAGACTACGCAGAAAAAAAGAAGACAAATTTGAAAAAAAATTTTCGTAGTTTTTGAGAGTATGGTCGGAACATTGTGCAACTGCACTGTAACCGGCTATCATTGTTCTTCTTTTCTTTTTGTTTTCTACGCGAAACCAGGTACCACAAAATAATCATTGAAAAAAGTCGAGTCATAAATCACATTAACAACCTTTCAGTTGTGATTCGAACGTTAAAAAAGAATATTTTAGCGCCTTCTTGGGAATGGAACAAGAACCAAACAAAAAATTCTAAAGAACTGTTTCTAAATATTTTGATTTTTTGTTGATTTTATAAATTTTAACTTATTTTTTGTTGAACGTCACGATTTTTTTAATTCTCAAACACTATAGGTTTTCCTTTTATCACACCAAAAATAAAAAACAACGATCGAAAATTGTATTTTCTTAAAGTTAGATCGAAGCATTCTGCGCCACTTGCACAACAAACCGCTACCCTTGTTCTTCTTTATCATCAAATAGTTTTTTGCAGCAAAAAAACTGCAAGAGATAGTAAACGTTGAGACCTGTTTTGGCACTGAACAGTTAGATTCAGAATAAAGGCTGAAAGGAGGTAATTGCAATCAAATTACAGCTGCAAGGAATCACGACTAAATTAAAAGATTTAAGAGCTAGCACACTCAATCAACTATGATCTCGCTCTGAAGAAGCTGCATTTGAGTGAAAAAGTATCCTGATCTTGATTTTAACTAAAAGATAGATAATAATAAAAAACGGAATATCAAAATTACATTAGGATGCAGTAGATTTAGGGGGGGTACTATTTTAGGATTTGGATGTTTGGTTGACCCACCCTAAAACTATCTGAAGGGGCTAAATTATACTTTGAGGGAGTGTGCTTCGTAAAATCGCAATTTTTCGGGCCAAATTTTCCAAAAAAAGGCCTGAAAACCTAAAAAAGGTAGACAGAAGTTTCAATTTCTTTTAAAATCTGCTCCTAGAGGAAATCTCAGATCCGCTAGTGGCCCCTGTAAGGGTGGCTATGTTTCTTCCCCAACCTTATCTGCCTGTTTCAGACACAAAATAAAATTTAGTTTTTATTTCACGGAATTATTTTAAGTTTACGCCAAATCGAGTTTGAAATTCAACACAGAAATGATGCTGAATTTCGCACCACTTGGGATACAAGAGAAGAAAGCCGCTAAGTAGAAAAAAGTCGCAGTGTCGGTAAACCTAGTTCGATCAAAATGTCTAAGTCTAATTTTGAAACGGACAACGGAATAGAAAATTAGCTTCGAAAGATAACCATGTTTCGTAAAAAGGAAAAAAACGCCCAATTGTCATGAAAAATTAATTTGAATTATAATTTGCATTAAGATTTTTCTATTTTGTGCAATCCAGAGATGATTACAAAAATTAAGTTTCCCGAATAACAACCCAAAACTAGGTCACTAATTTCGAGAACTAAGAACAATTTTTTTTACACAGAGGCGAAGCGGAGCTTCGCAGCTTTTGCGATACAACGAACGGGAACGTTGTACTGCAAGATGGAAATAACCAAGTAGAAAAAAACTTGCAAAAACTGGAAGTACGAAATACTCAATCACAGAAAAACAGACGAGAAACACACAGTAAAGCTTTAAAAAAGTGTCGACTTATTCAACAACACGTGGTTAGACGCCAATCAATTCGAACACAAAACTACCTAAATAGAGGGTTGTCATTAAAAACTCATGTTTGGAAATACAAAAAATTCAATCTCAAAAAAACATACGAAAGCACAACTAATAGCATAAAAAAGCTTTTAGTATTTTCTGAGCGTTCATTGAGCCAGCAACACGAGGTTAGACGCCAATTGATCCGAAAGCAGAACTACCAAAAGAAATTGTTGTCATAAAAAATTCAAAATATTTTTGGAAATGCGAAAAATTAAATCTCAGAAAAACAGACTAAAAACACAACCACTAGCATTAAGCAAGCGTTTAGTATTTTCCGAGCGTCCACTAAGCCATCAACACGTAGTTAGAAGCCAATTGATTCGAAAACAAAAATACCAAAGTAAATGGATGTCATAAAAATCAACAACTTATTTGGAAATACGAAAACCCAATCTGAGAAAAACGGACGAGAAACACCAACACTAACATTAAGCATGTTTTTAGCTTTTTTCAAGCGTTCCTTAAGCCATCAACACGTGGTTAGATACCAATAAAACCGAAAACATTATGTCAAAACAATTGTTATCAAAAAAAATTTGAGAAATTAAAAAGATAAGTTTACTAAACCGACAAAAACAAGATCCCATAATACCTAGGCCTCAAACAACATCGAAGCGAAAAAAAAAACAAGAAAAAGTCTATATTCTGATTTGATAACGCTTGCTAATCGCAAGCGTAATAATTCAACAAGATAACTCCGCTCATTAAGGCAACACTTCATGAAAATCTCACCACAATTTGTTCAAGTGCCAAAAACTGGTTCGCAGACCATACTTTAACTTTACACTGAGTTTTTCGAAAATAACTAGAACTGATAAATCATAGAACAAAAAAAATTGCATGAAAGGCACAAATACTCAAAAATGTCTTATTTTATATAGTTAGTTTTCTGTTCTCATTGAAGTAATTGAACTATTGTTGGAAAATTTTATCAAGCAAAATTATCCATTCAGATGGCGGAATGGACTGCTGGTGCCAACGTTTTTCGATCAAGATGGCGGAATGGACTGCTGGTGCCGACGCCTTCCGATCAAAAAATCAATTTTTAAGCACTACTCGCGTGCACATTGGAGCAACTAAAGCGCTTCAATTATCTGAGAGGCCAATCAAAACGAGGCTAACATCATTGAATTACTTGCAGGTACAAATCATTAGACATCTAAAAATAAATCAAATTCAACTAAACTATGGATCAAGTTTCTGTTCCAGCTACACCAAAACAGGTCCCAATTCTCCTTTTCTCCTCAGCAGATTGCTTGCATACTTTGCACTTGTGGAAATTCGTAGCATATGGGGTATTTGGAAATACGAAAACCCAATCTGAGAAAAACGGACGAGAAACACCAACACTAACATTAAGCAAGTTTTTAGCTTTTTTCAAGCGTTCCTTAAGCCATCAACACGTGGTTAGATACCAATAAAACCGAAAACATTATGTCAAAACAATTGTTATCAAAAAAATTTTGAGAAATTAAAAAGAAGTAATTGAAGTAATTGAACTATTGTTGGAAAATTTTATCAAGCAAAATTATCCATTCAGATGGCGGAATGGACTGCTGGTGCCAACGTTTTTCGATCAAGATGGCGGAATGGACTGCTGGTGCCGACGCCTTCCGATCAAAAAATCAATTTTTAAGCACTACTCGCGTGCACATTGGAGCAACTAAAGCGCTTCAATTATCTGAGAGGCCAATCAAAACGAGGCTAACATCATTGAATTACTTGCAGGTACAAATCATTAGACATCTAAAAATAAATCAAATTCAACTAAACTATGGATCAAGTTTCTGTTCCAGCTACACCAAAACAGGTCCCAATTCTCCTTTTCTCCTCAGCATCTTTCTGTCATCTTACGTGAACAACATCATCCGCTAGACTTTTTCACTAGTGTTCCTTTTTCTTTTCAGACTGAACTTTGTTTATAGTTTGAAGTGTCTAGGATTTTCTTTCCACACAAAGCACATATTCCTAGTTTATAAGCACAACCTGGAATATACCAAAACAATTTGTAACACATGAGTTTATGCCACTTGATTGATATAATTTCTTTGCTATCATTGAGCAAATGAAAAGATAAGAAGATGAAAGCGTGAAACTGCTAAGAAACAAGGAAATAAAAATTCCACTATTTTTTTAATTTCCTCGTTTCGTAGAATAAATGCCATCGCAATAAATCCAACTTTATCCGGTAGACATCAAGACACTGTCAATTTGTTGAATAGAAAAGAAACTCTGTGCCACAAGTTGTTTTTCGTTTTGTTAAGGGTGTTGAAATTCTTAATTTACGTCGGGTTACATTGCATTACTGGGGCATGGCATCACATGTAAGAAGACTTAATCAAAACTGTAATAATAAAATTTAGATGCAAGCAAAATTTAATTGAAATGTGCTGAAAGCAACGTAATTTAAAGCTTACTTACATTGGCAATAATGCGCTCCTGCTTGATGTAGAGATTGCTTGCATACTTGGCACTTGTGGAAATTCGTAGCATATGGGGTGTATCTAAACAAAGGCAGCCAATGTAAACTAAGTAGATGAGATCTTACAAAAAACGCGATTTATTGAAATATGAAAATTGTAGAAGTTGCTGCACAACAGTCGGATCACAGTGAATATCATACTTTGAGAGATGCTTCTAAAACCGAATCAGGGCTATAAAGGGCTTCTTATATGTTAGACCAGTGACTCTGTCTGCTTTAGTTTTTTAAGGTTTAGGATGTGACCAAAGCAAGTGAGGTCTTCGGAAAATGCGCGGCTCGAAGAATGGAACAACTGATTTAGGATAAATTACTCTCTCGTTTTAGAACAGTGACTAAAGTGATAGGTACGTGTGTTTTAGCTCTTTTTTATATTATTTTTGTTTTAGATGATTAAATAAAATTGACATCTCCTTTCGATTATGACATATAAATTTGACTATAATTTTTCAAATTTGGTAACTTGGCATTCAATATTAGCAGCTTTAACATAAGGGTCAGTTTACATTTAGCTAATTTGGTATAGTGACATTAATTTAGGTTATGTTTTTTAGTTGCACTGCGTACAACGATATTTGAGGACTAACCGTTTGATAAACTTAAGATTTGTTTATCGGAAGTTCACGATGACATTCATTAAGTTCATTTATTAAAGTTCATTTCCTCAACATGTCACAGGGCTTGAACTTTATACAATACTTAGACACCAAGCCTTAAATTTATAAGGAGCACAGAGATGATTTAAATCATCCGGACAAAGAACAAATCTTGAAAATTAAAACGCATTTTTCTCAAATTGGGTCGACTTAAGATGAAAAATGAAGACAAAACTTATTTGAAGTAGGTAGAATTAAAATGGCGCAATTTATTTTGCACAATTTGTACCCAAAGTTTTAATGGTAAAGCGCAAGAACTACCGGATCAATTCAAGCAAAATAAATAAAGTGAGCATCCTCTGTAGCCCAACAAAATTTAAGAAGAGCAATCTCCAGAAATTGATTCAAAACGTTTAAAAATTGTTTTTAAATGAACAATTGGTATTTTATAAGGTAAAATGACATTTTATGAACATCATCTAAAATAGACTTCGTAGAAATTGTTGGGCTACATAGAAGGCTCGATTTCTTTAGTTTTGTTAGCAATTGATCCGGTTGTTTTTGCGCAATTTTTGATTGACTGAAAAAAGCGAAAAACAATGCATGTATGGTAAAACGTTCAGTAAAAAATCCTCTTTTGTGCTGCTCCTAATTCCCTTGTTTACATCGGTCGAGGGGAGATTGTTATGTATAGCCAGATGTATAGCCAGATCAGGCCAAATTCATGACTTTTCTTGGCTGTTTTCCTTTCTTCAGCTGCTCTTTTCATAGCTTCCGATCGGTATCTGTTTCTGCCGTATGCCCCATAGTAGTACCCTGTTAACACGAGGATAAGCCTTCGTTATGTTTAACAAAACCGCTACGGGCCTTTTCATCGCTGAGCCTCCGTTTGGTCCCAATACTCTGCGTGTTTCATCGTCAATGCGGATAATTGCTTGGGTAGCGTCAGCCGTTGACCTGCCTTTCCTGAAACCGTGTTGGTTCTCTTCCATCAACTCTATTGTTTCCGCCCAAATCCTAAGGCTGGAGGCAAGAACTCGTGCAATTATTCGCCTGGCTAGGGGCAGTAAGCATACCCCACGGTAGTTGCTGAAGTCTTTCCTCGTACCCTTTTTGAGCAGGGGAATCAGCCACCCTTCTTTCGATTCTTTCGGCCAGTTGTCTGAGCCCGTCTTAAGAATGTTGATGATACATTCGTATGCTATGTCCTTCACAGTCCGATATTTAACCGAAAGGCCCCATCTACTGTTTTTGCCTGATCTACTGTTTTTTTGTCGGTATTTCCTACCGAAGAGTTAAAGTCTCCTCCATTTATAGGGGCAACCCTTTTCCTGGTTTTGATCCTGGCCGACAGTTCCTCCCGGTATTCCTCAAAATCTTTGGGGTCCGTGTTCCAGAGCGGTTGGTACAGGGCCACAAGTTTAAGGTTGTTGACTTCGACTGAGCAGCATTGGTTTCCACAATCTCTTATATATCCTTGCTACAATCTCTTATATATCCTTGCTCCCTCCAGTCGTTGGCCCAACCGTCTCTCAGGAGGATGCCGCTTCGCTTCCCGTAGAGGCCTTTGGTTTTTATTCATTTCATCCCAGGTTCCTCCCAGATAAAACACTGCCTAAGTACCCAGTTTGAAGAAACAAAAGCAAATACCAACTTTTTTAAATTTCCTACACCTTTCCTCCTCCAGTTCCCTATCTGAAACTTGAGCTCCAAAAAAATGAAACCTTATGCACAGAGCTATTCAAAAGCCCGTGCAAACTCCTACAAGAATCCCTCACAATCATCCCTTTCTCAGAAGCAGGGGCGGATCTAGAATTTTCTCGAGGGCGGGTGGCGGATTTTCAAAAAATTTTGTTGACTTTTTTTAGGTCGACCGAATTGATTTTTGAGCTCTCCCTAAGCAGTTTTAGTCCCTGTTTTGGCCAAATTTTCTGCGCCGTAGGCGAAACTTTGAAAAACAGTTAACAAAAGGCGTTTTTAGGCACTTTTGGAAAATTTTGACCAAAATTAGTATATATTCGCCTTTTTAGAAACATTTAAGGGTCGGTCGGCTGAAAATGGATTTCTAAAAAATACCAACGGGGGACACTTTGGGTCGGCAGGGGGTCGAATCCCTGAGGGAGGGCGTCCGCAACCCCCCCCCCCCCTAAATCCGCCCCTGCTCAGAAGCAATACTGCCAAGAGCTAAACAAAAAGAACAAATCAAGATTCGCGATGCAAATATTCGACTTGCCCTTCAGACGAATTGTACGAATTTTGAAACCTTACATTGTAGCGTCACATATTTAGCATAACATTATATAACAAAACTACAAACTAGAGGCAAAGTGGAGCTTCTAATCACTACGTAAGTGTGGCAGAACTACAGCACATAAAAGGAACGGCAAGCTAGCAAAAAATGAAGGAAAGAACAAAAGCAAAAAAGTGAAACTTTATAATTATTTTTGACGAAATAAAAAAAGATTAAATTTAAATTTTGAAACTACACAGCTCAACCGATCTAAAATTATTTTTCAAACTAATAATGAATTTTGCCCTTGAAACGACGCAAAAATAGGCTGACTAAGCATATATAACAATAATTACTCTGTTTTGGCCATGTAAAGCTTTTAGTCCATAAATAAAAAAAATAACAGAAATTATATTGAATCTCGTCTAGTAATTAAACAATCTACAGGCGAAAATCAACAGCACTTGCAACTACAACAAAAAATTCTTATAGAAAAAAAATCTTAGATAGGTCAACTTTTTTCTTCTTTTACCTTTTCTACGCAAAATTAGGTACCGCAAATAAGCATCGGACTAAGTTCAGTTATGTATCATATTAAAAATTTTTAGTCGTAATTTAAAAAGCTCTCAAAACTTTTTTTAATGTTGAGAGAAACCGGTGCAAAATTTTTGAGTTTTCGTCTATCTTTGAGGAGTGAGCAGGCTTACATTAGCTTAATGAAAGCATTGAAAAATTAATTTCATTCAAGTCAAGTTAGTTTTAAGCGCTTTATTAGGTATCAAAAAGATCAAAAATTCCAGAGAAAAAACTTGGAACATTTCAAAAAAAACTTGCTGGAAATTTAATTTTTTTTCACATTCTTTTTTCGTTTTTCTAGAGATTTTTTCAAAAAGTTTTTTCAATTTGCCCGTTTCACCATGACTGTTAAAGATGGCTAACTTTCATTTTTGCGTTCAGATCGTTTTATCAGACTACGCAGAAAAAAAGAAGACAAATTTGAAAAAAAATTTTCGTAGTTTTTGAGAGTATGGTCGGAACATTGTGCAACTGCACTGTAACCGGCTATCATTGTTCTTCTTTTCTTTTTGTTTTCTACGCGAAACCAGGTACCACAAAATAATCATTGAAAAAAGTCGAGTCATAAATCACATTAACAACCTTTCAGTTGTGATTCGAACGTTAAAAAAGAATATTTTAGCGCCTTCTTGGGAATGGAACAAGAACCAAACAAAAAATTCTAAAGAACTGTTTCTAAATATTTTGATTTTTTGTTGATTTTATAAATTTTAACTTATTTTTTGTTGAACGTCACGATTTTTTTAATTCTCAAACACTATAGGTTTTCCTTTTATCACACCAAAAATAAAAAACAACGATCGAAAATTGTATTTTCTTAAAGTTAGATCGAAGCATTCTGCGCCACTTGCACAACAAACCGCTACCCTTGTTCTTCTTTATCATCAAATAGTTTTTTGCAGCAAAAAAACTGCAAGAGATAGTAAACGTTGAGACCTGTTTTGGCACTGAACAGTTAGATTCAGAATAAAGGCTGAAAGGAGGTAATTGCAATCAAATTACAGCTGCAAGGAATCACGACTAAATTAAAAGATTTAAGAGCTAGCACACTCAATCAACTATGATCTCGCTCTGAAGAAGCTGCATTTGAGTGAAAAAGTATCCTGATCTTGATTTTAACTAAAAGATAGATAATAATAAAAAACGGAATATCAAAATTACATTAGGATGCAGTAGATTTAGGGGGGGTACTATTTTAGGATTTGGATGTTTGGTTGACCCACCCTAAAACTATCTGAAGGGGCTAAATTATACTTTGAGGGAGTGTGCTTCGTAAAATCGCAATTTTTCGGGCCAAATTTTCCAAAAAAAGGCCTGAAAACCTAAAAAAGGTAGACAGAAGTTTCAATTTCTTTTAAAATCTGCTCCTAGAGGAAATCTCAGATCCGCTAGTGGCCCCTGTAAGGGTGGCTATGTTTCTTCCCCAACCTTATCTGCCTGTTTCAGACACAAAATAAAATTTAGTTTTTATTTCACGGAATTATTTTAAGTTTACGCCAAATCGAGTTTGAAATTCAACACAGAAATGATGCTGAATTTCGCACCACTTGGGATACAAGAGAAGAAAGCCGCTAAGTAGAAAAAAGTCGCAGTGTCGGTAAACCTAGTTCGATCAAAATGTCTAAGTCTAATTTTGAAACGGACAACGGAATAGAAAATTAGCTTCGAAAGATAACCATGTTTCGTAAAAAGGAAAAAAACGCCCAATTGTCATGAAAAATTAATTTGAATTATAATTTGCATTAAGATTTTTCTATTTTGTGCAATCCAGAGATGATTACAAAAATTAAGTTTCCCGAATAACAACCCAAAACTAGGTCACTAATTTCGAGAACTAAGAACAATTTTTTTTACACAGAGGCGAAGCGGAGCTTCGCAGCTTTTGCGATACAACGAACGGGAACGTTGTACTGCAAGATGGAAATAACCAAGTAGAAAAAAACTTGCAAAAACTGGAAGTACGAAATACTCAATCACAGAAAAACAGACGAGAAACACACAGTAAAGCTTTAAAAAAGTGTCGACTTATTCAACAACACGTGGTTAGACGCCAATCAATTCGAACACAAAACTACCTAAATAGAGGGTTGTCATTAAAAACTCATGTTTGGAAATACAAAAAATTCAATCTCAAAAAAACATACGAAAGCACAACTAATAGCATAAAAAAGCTTTTAGTATTTTCTGAGCGTTCATTGAGCCAGCAACACGAGGTTAGACGCCAATTGATCCGAAAGCAGAACTACCAAAAGAAATTGTTGTCATAAAAAATTCAAAATATTTTTGGAAATGCGAAAAATTAAATCTCAGAAAAACAGACTAAAAACACAACCACTAGCATTAAGCAAGCGTTTAGTATTTTCCGAGCGTCCACTAAGCCATCAACACGTAGTTAGAAGCCAATTGATTCGAAAACAAAAATACCAAAGTAAATGGATGTCATAAAAATCAACAACTTATTTGGAAATACGAAAACCCAATCTGAGAAAAACGGACGAGAAACACCAACACTAACATTAAGCATGTTTTTAGCTTTTTTCAAGCGTTCCTTAAGCCATCAACACGTGGTTAGATACCAATAAAACCGAAAACATTATGTCAAAACAATTGTTATCAAAAAAAATTTGAGAAATTAAAAAGATAAGTTTACTAAACCGACAAAAACAAGATCCCATAATACCTAGGCCTCAAACAACATCGAAGCGAAAAAAAAAACAAGAAAAAGTCTATATTCTGATTTGATAACGCTTGCTAATCGCAAGCGTAATAATTCAACAAGATAACTCCGCTCATTAAGGCAACACTTCATGAAAATCTCACCACAATTTGTTCAAGTGCCAAAAACTGGTTCGCAGACCATACTTTAACTTTACACTGAGTTTTTCGAAAATAACTAGAACTGATAAATCATAGAACAAAAAAAATTGCATGAAAGGCACAAATACTCAAAAATGTCTTATTTTATATAGTTAGTTTTCTGTTCTCATTGAAGTAATTGAACTATTGTTGGAAAATTTTATCAAGCAAAATTATCCATTCAGATGGCGGAATGGACTGCTGGTGCCAACGTTTTTCGATCAAGATGGCGGAATGGACTGCTGGTGCCGACGCCTTCCGATCAAAAAATCAATTTTTAAGCACTACTCGCGTGCACATTGGAGCAACTAAAGCGCTTCAATTATCTGAGAGGCCAATCAAAACGAGGCTAACATCATTGAATTACTTGCAGGTACAAATCATTAGACATCTAAAAATAAATCAAATTCAACTAAACTATGGATCAAGTTTCTGTTCCAGCTACACCAAAACAGGTCCCAATTCTCCTTTTCTCCTCAGCAGATTGCTTGCATACTTTGCACTTGTGGAAATTCGTAGCATATGGGGTATTTGGAAATACGAAAACCCAATCTGAGAAAAACGGACGAGAAACACCAACACTAACATTAAGCAAGTTTTTAGCTTTTTTCAAGCGTTCCTTAAGCCATCAACACGTGGTTAGATACCAATAAAACCGAAAACATTATGTCAAAACAATTGTTATCAAAAAAATTTTGAGAAATTAAAAAGAAGTAATTGAAGTAATTGAACTATTGTTGGAAAATTTTATCAAGCAAAATTATCCATTCAGATGGCGGAATGGACTGCTGGTGCCAACGTTTTTCGATCAAGATGGCGGAATGGACTGCTGGTGCCGACGCCTTCCGATCAAAAAATCAATTTTTAAGCACTACTCGCGTGCACATTGGAGCAACTAAAGCGCTTCAATTATCTGAGAGGCCAATCAAAACGAGGCTAACATCATTGAATTACTTGCAGGTACAAATCATTAGACATCTAAAAATAAATCAAATTCAACTAAACTATGGATCAAGTTTCTGTTCCAGCTACACCAAAACAGGTCCCAATTCTCCTTTTCTCCTCAGCATCTTTCTGTCATCTTACGTGAACAACATCATCCGCTAGACTTTTTCACTAGTGTTCCTTTTTCTTTTCAGACTGAACTTTGTTTATAGTTTGAAGTGTCTAGGATTTTCTTTCCACACAAAGCACATATTCCTAGTTTATAAGCACAACCTGGAATATACCAAAACAATTTGTAACACATGAGTTTATGCCACTTGATTGATATAATTTCTTTGCTATCATTGAGCAAATGAAAAGATAAGAAGATGAAAGCGTGAAACTGCTAAGAAACAAGGAAATAAAAATTCCACTATTTTTTTAATTTCCTCGTTTCGTAGAATAAATGCCATCGCAATAAATCCAACTTTATCCGGTAGACATCAAGACACTGTCAATTTGTTGAATAGAAAAGAAACTCTGTGCCACAAGTTGTTTTTCGTTTTGTTAAGGGTGTTGAAATTCTTAATTTACGTCGGGTTACATTGCATTACTGGGGCATGGCATCACATGTAAGAAGACTTAATCAAAACTGTAATAATAAAATTTAGATGCAAGCAAAATTTAATTGAAATGTGCTGAAAGCAACGTAATTTAAAGCTTACTTACATTGGCAATAATGCGCTCCTGCTTGATGTAGAGATTGCTTGCATACTTGGCACTTGTGGAAATTCGTAGCATATGGGGTGTATCTAAATAAAGGCAGCCAATGTAAACTAAGTAGATGAGATCTTACAAAAAACGCGATTTATTGAAATATGAAAATTGTAGAAGTTGCTGCGAATATGGCACAACAGTCGGATCACAGTGAATATCATACTTTGAGAGATGCTTCTAAAACCGAATCACGGCTATAAAGGGCTTGTTATATGTTAGACCAGTGACTCTGTCTGATATAGTTTTTTAAGGTTTAGGATGTGACCAAAGCAAGTGAGGTCTTCGGAAAATGCTCGGCTCGAAGAATGGAACAACTGATTTAAGATAAATTACTCTCTCGTTTTAGAACAGTGACTAAAGTGATAGGTACGTGTTTTTTCAGCTCTTTTTTATAATATTTTTGTTTTACATGATTAAATAAAATTGACATCTCCTTTCGGTTATGACATAAATTTGACTACAATTTTTCAAATTTGGTAACTTGGATTTCAATATTAGCAGCTTTAACATAAGGGTCAGTTTACATTTAGCTAATTTGGTATAGTGACGTTAATTTAGGTTATGTATTTTAGTTGCACTGCGTACAACGATATTTGAGGACTAACTGTTTGATAAACTTAGATTTGTTTATCGGAAGTTCACGATGACATTCATTAAGTTCATTTATTAAAGTTCATTTCCTCAACATGTCACAGGGCTTGAACTTTATATAATACTTAGACACCAAGCCTTAAATTTATAAGGAGCACAGAGATGATTTAAATCATCCGGACAAAGAACAAATCTTGAAAATGAAAACGTATTTTTCTCAAATTGGGTCGACTTAAGATGAAAAATGAAGACAAAACTTATTTGAATTAGGTAGAATTAAAATGGCGCAATTTATTTTGCACAATTCGTACCCAAAGTTTTAATGGTAGTGCGCAAGAACTACCGGATCAATGCAAGCAAAATAAATAAAAGTGAGCCTCCTCTGTAGCCCAACAAAATTTAAGAAGAGCAATCTCCAGAAATTGATTCAAAACGTTTAAAAATTGTTTTTAAATGAACAATTGGTAATTTATAAGGTAAAATGACATTTTATGATGATCATTTAAAATAGACTTCGTAAAAATTGTTCGGCTACATAGAAGGCTCGATTTCTTTAGTTTTGTTAGCAATTGATCCGGTTGTTTTTGCGCAATTTTTGATTGACTGAAAAAAGCGAAAAACAATGCATGTATGGTAAAACGTTCAGTAAAAAATCCTCTCTGGTGCTGCTCCTAATTCCCTTGTTTACATCGGTCGAGGGGAGATTGTTATCTCTGATGTATAGCCAGATCAAGCCAAATTCATGACTTTTCTTGGCTGTTTTCCTTTCTTCAGCTGCTCTTTTCATAGCTTCCGATCGGTATCTGTTTCTGCCGTATGCCCCATAGTAGTACCCTGTTAACACGAGGATAAGCCTTCGTTAAGTTTAACAAAACCGCTACGGGCCTTTTCATCGCTGAGCCTCCGTTTGGTCCCAATACTCTGCGTGTTTCATCGTCAATGCGGATAATTGCTTGGGTAGCGTCAGCCGTTGACCTGCCTTTCCTGAAACCGTTTTGGTTCTCTTCCATCAACTCTATTGTTTCCGCCCAGATCCTAGAGCCTGGAGGCAAGAACTCGTGCGATTATTCGCCTGGCTAGGGGCAGTAAGCATACCCCACGGTAGTTGCTGAGGTCTTTCCTCGTACCCTTTTTGAGCAGGGGAATCAGCCACCCTTCTTTCGATTCTTTCGGCCAGTTGTCTGAGCCCGTCTTAAGAATTTTGATGATACATTCGTATGCTATGTCCTTCACAGTCCGATATTTAACCGAAAGGCCCCATCTACTGTTTTTGCCTGATCTACTGTTTTTTGTCGGTACTTCCTACCGAAGAGTTAAAGTCTTATCTCAGAAACTAAAAGGATTTGACCATTCATATTAAGAGGCAAGATTTGAGACGCCTGGGTGTACGCTGACAATAAGGTTGTATCTTCATCAAGTTAGTATTTTCAAATTTTTTGAATTTCTTTGAAGATAAGTTCTTTCAGAAATTTTGAAAAATTCAAAAAACGTCAGATCTCGGAAACTAAAAGCATTAGAGCAGTCGCTTGTGGCAAGATTTGCAACTCTTTAGAGTACCCTGACAACAACGAACTATAGCGTTGGAAATTTCAAATTTTGAAAAAATAATTAATTTAAACTTTCTGAAGTTTTCAGAAAATTTTTGAAAAAATCACAAAAAAACGTCATATCTCGAAAAGATACAAAAAATTGAGCAATTATATTTGGAGGCAAGATTCGCAATCTTGGAGATTACTCTGACAGGACCCAACTACAGGGTTGGGAATATCAGATTTTACGAAAAAAAAAAAAAAGTTTTCTGAATTTTTTTTGAAAAATCACAAAAAACGTCATATCTCGAAAACCACAAAGATTTAAACAGTCATATTTGGAGGCAAGATTTGTAACTCCTTACAGTACTCTGACAGCACCCAACTACAAGATTGGGAAATTCAAATTTTGAGAAATAATTAAATAAAATTTTCTCAAAAATTTTTGAAAAAATCACAAAAAATATCATATCTCGAAAACTACTAAGAATTGAGCAGTCATATTTGGAGGCAAGATTCGCAATCTTTGAGAATACTCGGACAGGACCCAACTACAGGGTTGGGAATTTCAGATTTTGCGAAAAAAAATTAATATAAGTTTTCTGAAAAATCACAAAAAAACTACAAGGATTTGAACAGTTTTGTAACTACACAGATTTGTAACTCCTTAGAGTATTCTGACAGCACCCAACTACAGGCTTGGGAACTTCAAGTTTTTTAAATTAATTTAATATTTGAAATTTCTGAAAAATTTTGAAAAAAATCTCAAAAATCGTCTTATCTCGTTAACTAAAATGATTCGGGCACTCAAAACTGGAGGCCAAATTCGCAACCCCTAATTCGATATTGGGCTGCTTAATTTAAACTCCGTAAAATAGCCACTAAAATCAAATTGGAAAATCGAAAAAAAATCTTAACCATTGCAATATACGATATAGCTTAAACATGCAAAAATAATACGTTGAAAAAGCTTAAAAATGGCGAGATAGTGAAGCCCGCCTTTAAATATATAATAGACTGTACGAATATACAGATGACAGAGATAGTGCAATTGACATTAAAATCCTCAAAATACTTCTTGGTTATCTCGAAACCGACAAACAAGCGTTTGTCTGGACTGTTAAGCCCTCCAACTGACTTACAGAGGCGAAGCTTCGCACCACCTGCTACACAGCACAATCATAAAAAAAAGTTATTACAGAGGCGAAGCTTCGCGCCACCTGATACACAGCACAATCATAAAAAAAATATAAGACTCAAAAAAAACTGAAAACGGTTGAAAACAAGGTGAACCAAAATTTTCGTATATTTCGATAAAAGATAACTAGGAGTCCAGCTTAGTCTGGAGATGCCTGTTACTTATTTCTGGAACGCGTTATACTGATGCTGGATGAATGAGTAATTTCAAAAATTTTACTTAGTCCAAAAACTTAGTTGTTTCTCTACTAAAAAAAAAAAAGAGTGAAAATTTCTGGGAAATTGGAATCTTCCCACAGACATAACATTATTCTTACAAGAAGCTAACGAGTCTATGCTTTTACAGGAAAAGTTCTCGTAACCGATTCTTTCGATTAAATTCTGCAATTAAACTCAGACTAGGGTAGTTTCTAAGAAAATTCAAAAAGTTTCTCAAAACATTCATTAAAAAAATTGAGCATTGAAAAAGATCTCTAAGAAAACAGACTTCAGTAAAAACTACAAATTGCAAGTCGTGTCTCCAGGAAAGCAAACGAAATATCAAAATCCGCCCCTTTGAAAAATCACAAAAAACGTCATATCTCGAAAACCACAAAGATTTAAACAGTCATATTTGGAGGCAAGATTTGTAACTCCTTTCTGACAGCACCCAACTACAAGATTGGGAAATTCAAATTTTGAGAAATAATTAAACAAAATTTTCTGAAAATTTTTGAAAATCACAAAAAATATCATATCTCGAAAACGACTAAGAATTGAGCAGTCATATTTGGAGGCAAGATTCGCAATCTTTGAGAATACTCGGACAGGACCCAACTACAGGGTTGGGAATTTCAGATTTTGCGAAAAAAAAAATTAATATAAGTTTTCTGAAAAATCACAAAAAACGTCAGATCTCAAAAACTACAAGGATTTGAACAGTCTTATTTGGAGGCAAGATTTGTAACTCCTTAGAGTACTCTGACAGCACCCAACTACAGGGTTGGGAACTTCAAGTTTTGTAAATTAATTTGTTAATTGAAATTTCTGAAAATTTTTGAAAAAATCTCAAAAATCGTCTTATCTCGTTAACTAAAATGATTCTGGCACTCAAAATTGGAGGCCAAATTCGCAACCCCTAATTCGATATTGGGCTGCTTAATTTAAACTCGGTAAAATAACCACTAAAATCAAATTGGAAAATCGAAAAAAAATTCTTAACCATTGCAATATACGATATAGCTTAAACATGCAAAAATAATGCGTTGAAAAAGCTTAATTATGGCGAGATATTGAAGCCCGCATTTAAATATATAATAGACTGTACGAATATACAGATGACAGAGATAGTGCAATTGACATTAAAATCCTCAAAATACTTCTTGGTTATCTCGAAACCGACAAACAAGCGTTTGTCTGGACTGTTAAGCTCTCCAACTGACTTACAGAGGCGAAGCTTCGCACCACCTGCTACACAGCATAATCACAAAAAAAATTATTACAGAGGCGAAGCTTCGCGCCACCTGCTACACAGCACAATCATAAAAAAAATATAAGAACTCAAAAAAAATGAAAACGGTTGAAAACAAGGTGAACCAAAATTTTCGTATGTTTCGATAAAAGATAACTAGGAGTTCGGCTTAGTCTGGAGATGTCTGTTACTTATTTCTGGAACGCGTTATACTGATGCTGGATGAATGAGTAATTTCAAAAATTTGACTTAGTCCAAAAACTTGTTTCTCTACAAAGATAAAAAAAAGAATGAAAATTTCTGGGAAATTGGAATCTTCCCACAGACATAACATGATTCTTACAAGAAGCTAAAGAGTCTATGCTTCTACAGGAAAAGTTCTCGTAACCGATTCTTCCGATTAAATTCTTCAATCAAACTCAGACTAGGGTAGTTTCTAAGAAAATTCAAAAAGTTTCTCAGAACATTCATTAAAAAAATTAAGCATTGAAAAAGATCTCTAAGAAAACAGACTTCAGTAAAAACTACAAATTGCAAGTCGTGTCTCCAGGAAAGCAAACGAAATATCAAAAAGGAATACTTGAAATCAAGCACAGCTTACTGTGCCTCTATTCGCTGCCAGCGACGAAGAGCAGAGCCAGTCTCCTCAGCGAAAAAGACATGAAACTTACTTGCGACACACCATATTTTAAATAATTAAAACGAAGCTTTGCACTCCTAAGGAATGCAATTCTTCACGTCCAGAGATGTCAAGAATCAAAATTTCCGTAAAATATAGTATTGAAGAGGGTTGTTCAAACAAAAAATCATCAAAGACGTAAACTTTGAAGAAGTTTATTGTTTCGGTATTAATAATTAGATGCATTTACATAGTGTTGGGTACGGCTCCATCCAACCTGTGCACTGACAGTCGAATGACAAAAGGATCCTTTTAATTGATCTTTTAATATGATATATTACTCGGTCAACTATATCCGAAGCCTATATCTGAAGTTACTTCGATAGAAGGACGGAACAATCAACAATGGAATCGACAATTTAATTGCACAGTTTTACTTGTTAATCTCAATCGATTTTGTATGAATAGCCCAGTAGTTACAAGACCAACAAGAACTCGTTTCAGTGTAAACCTCACTTAAGCACCAGCCATGCTATCACTATTCACTCTTATAAAAAAAAAATCTTACCTCATCTTTTTCCCGGATAGTGCTTTATTTTCGTTCAGTTTTCTACCACCACCTCCTAAAAAATCCAATAACTGGAGTAAAATGTTCAGTATTTATTCATTTTTGCTAAATATACGTATGATAATTATTTACCTGTAGTGCTACGAGCACCATCCTTCCAGGGATCGGGGGTTATAATTTTAGCAAGCTTTAGCTCACCTGAAACGAAGTAACTTTAAATCAAATTTAATCAAAAAATGAACATATGGCGCCATAACGCTGTCACATTAAATTAAAATTGGGCTCAAGTTTCCTGCTACTAATCGACTGTCATACTTACATTTTCCACAGACCATTATTGTATCTGAGGCTATCAAAACTGACGTGGACGCATACTTAAACTGAAAACAAAATTAGCTTTCGAGCGAACTATTCAAACTGAAAAACTTTGCACCTTGTAGCGCTAAAATGAACGACTACGATTAAAATCAAATAAAAAGACAAATAAAAAATTCGGTATTTAAAAAAAAGAAGTTTTTTTCCCAAAAAAACTCATTCAAATTGCCAAAAAAAATCTTACAAGAAAACTACACCGTTAAATGCTAGAAAGAAGCCGAATTTCAAACAAAATTGCTGTGGGACCTAAGCCGGCAAAATAACCAAATAGAAGATAGTCTGAAATAGTAAAAATCTGAGTCAGGAAAAATCGGTCTCGACTGGAACTTTTCAAACGGTAAACTAGGGGCCCAGCTGAAAGCTGGAGAGACCTGTTTGATTATTTTAATATTGATTATTTTAAAATTTACCGACCTGATTAAAGAGAACTAGCGTAACTCGTGCAACTTCTCGTTGGACTTCTTCGAACCATACAAAAAAACTCAACACAAAGCCAATAGCACCAAGCAAAAGCGAGAAAACGTAAGCATAGCGGATTCCATTGTCTAAAAAATACACACAATAAGTATATTGAATCTTTGTTCCAATGCCAAAAAACTTTTAAAAAAACTTTTCCTAAGTGTACAGCTTTTCCCCGAGACAAATTATGGACCAGCCGCTTGGGCAGGGGAGTTTCCTACAACCTGGTCTATCGATTAAACCCTTAATCCCAAATCTGGACGGGTAGTTTTTGAGGAAATCGGAAAGATTTGAAAAAAGGCCAAAAAAGTGACTTTTCCTAAGTCTATAGCTCTTCCCCTAGGCAAGTTAAGGACCAGCCGCTTGTGCGGGGGAGTTTCCTACAACCTGGTCTATCGATTAAACCCTTAATTCCAAATCTGGATGGGTAGTTTTTGAGGAAATCGATAATTTCCGAAAAAATAGGCAAAAAAAATCAAAAAAGTGACTTTTCCTAAGTCTATAGCTCTTCCCCTAAGCAAATTAGGGACCAGCCGCTTGTGCATGGGAGTTTCCTACAACCTGGTCTATCGATTAAACCCTTAATCCCAAATCTGGACGGGTAGTTTTTGAGGAAGTACCGAGTTGTGAAGCTTTTCTAAGACCGTAGGGGGTGGGGTAGGGTAAAAATTGCCCTAAATTTCATGCAGGCAGGTAGGTGAAACGCTACTGAATCCATTGGTACCACTTTTATGAGAATTTGACGAGTAGTTTTTTGGGAAAGCGAATTTTTCGAAAAAGAAAAAAAAACAGATCTCATCTGGAAAAAAAAACATTTTCTGTGCCAGTCGGTCATATTTGGAAGTTTGACCTTGAGAGAAGCAAAAAACACTTGATTTTGGAGTGAAATTTAATTTTTCAAAATTTCGAATGGAACCTGTCATGCACGATTTTCTCGCGATAACTGAAAATCAGAAAAAAGAAATCAGAACAATTTCAGAACGATTGAGACACACACGCGGGAAAGTTGTAAGAAAAAGCAGTAGGAAATTGCTATTCGCAATTTCCATCACTATCATAATCGAGAGTAGAGCTGTCCCATCTGTGACAGAGACGAGAGCATTCCCACGAATTGGATTATAGCGACTGGAGTGTTATTCGGAACTGGACTAGAGTGAACCTTCGGTGGAAAGGTGGACAACTTGAGTGTCCTAATGGTTCACAAGAAAACTATTGTCTAGAGTATAAACTCGTTCTCATTGTTCAAACTATAAAACATTAGACTCATTTGGTTACGTTATTTAATTCTTGAGTTAATTACCGACTGGATTATTTCCCACTTCTTGAGCGTGCTACTATGTGAGTACAAATTTAAATTCCTAGAGTGTGTTTTATAATTGTTATGTTGAGGTAAGGCGAGTTTTAGGTTGATCCATCTGAAATGGATCAAAGTCCCACTGTCTAATAAAAAGTAACTTAACGGATTGTTCCAACCCGGTTTTTAACGGCGTTCATGTATTTTGGGTATCTAGAGACCTAAGTATGGGGACGTTTCTAATTCTAGAGTGGGGGGATATTTTAGTAGTAGCCTTTAAGCTGTAACGGGTCGTAGTCTCATGTCACAAGCGAACCGAACTGGCTCCGACCGTTCTTGAGGTAGAAAAACACAAGAGATGGTGTCCCTGACCCTTGAGCCAGTGGTTATAGGTCCTATTTTTCTTAAGCCTCATGTGTGACTGCAGTAGACGAATGTTACATAGTGTTTTTATGGCGCTCCTGGGTGTTTACGACATCAAGACTACGGAGTCGAACCCACTTGAGACAGCTTCGGGCTGAATGCCCATTCTAGAGTACCAGCGGTACGGTTCGACAGGAACGTGCAAACCTTCCGGTTGTACCGTGATAGCTTTTTAAGAAAACTCGAGAAAATTTCCTGGTACGCTCTCCGAACGAGGCTTAGCTAACCGAGTAAAGGGGGGCAACTAGGGGGACAAAAACACGAGCAAAAAGACAAAAAGCAAAACAAAAACCAAAAAAGAATAGAAAAAGGAACAAAAACCATAAAACGAAAAAAGACAGTGACTTTGACACCAGATTAGTTGGATCAAACCTTTATACTAATTAAATAGTATACCCATACTGTTTTACAAGTTCGATCGTTTCGATCAACCTAGCAATTTAAACCAGTAAACTGAATAAAGTGCCCGAAGTGGGGCGTTGTCAAGGGTTTTCAGATAGCTTGGAACTTAGCTGGACCAATAGGAGACTTGACTGGAAGAGGTGACCAGCCGAGTGGGAAAGTGGTTCAGGGACACTTTAGCTGAACCAATAGGAGACTTGACTGGAAGAGGTGACCAGCCGAGTGGGAAAGTGGTTCAGGGACACTTGAGCTGAACCAATAGGAGACTGGACTGGAACAGGTGACCAGTCGAGTGGGAAAGCAGCCAAGAAGGATTTGGCAATTCTCGAGTTCTCAAGTTGGGCAGAACGGGTATCGTTAAAATCCACATTACATTATAGGAGATAAGTGTAAAATAGGATAAGCGACATCCCCCGGTTTTGAGGAACGTTTTTACTTGAGCAGGCCTGGAGACAGGTCTACGGTTTTCTCTTGAGAGGTTTAGCACCCGGCGCTTAAGGTAATTTTAGGCTTAAGAAGGGGGGCTAAAAAGGGGGGAGGTTAGAAGGGGGGCTGGTTAAGTTAGAGGTTGGCGGTTGTAAATTGTAAAAAGGGGGAAATTAGAGTAACTAATTAGTCGACATCGTTGACTTAGTTACATTAGAATTTATAACGCGTTGGTAATATTAGGTGGATATCGAAATTTGAACTCGAGTTAAGGAAGGTACCCTGGTCGGATTGGTAGGGGGGAAGGGACATAGACAGTTTTTGTAATACCCCATAAGATCGCTAGCAGGGGGGAAGGAAACGCGTGGCAATTAGGTACAAGACATTTTTTTCGATAGAAGGTAGACATTTGTCACCTTTGAATTTTAGGTGGGCTCATCTTTCTGTTTTTATTAATTTTTCTTGCTTAGATTTTGTTGCATTTTGGTGAGGATTTGTGTTAAAATTTTGTACGAACAGGTGATCACAAGATACCTGCGCACAGGTTTTGGTCTCAAGTTACTTGGAACATTGAAATAGAGGAAGCCAAAAAGAGAAATAAGAAAAAGGGGGGTCAGCATTTGGTTTTTAAGAGAGGATTTTGGGAAAATTTTACTAGAGCTTGAGTGGTGGTACAAGGTACGGCGAATCAAGAAGTCCCCATAACGAAGAGGGAAGAAGTCCCACCACCCAGACACTAGTCAACAGTCTTGGGACAGTGCCGAAGAAGTCTTAGGACAGAGCAGTCTGGGGACAGTCTTGGGACAGTACAGTCTTGGGACAGTGGTCTTGGGACAGGGTCTTGGGACAGGGTCTTGGGACAAGGGTCTTGGGACAGGGTCTTGGGACAAGGTCTTGGGACAAGGTCTTGGGACAAGGGTCTTGGGACAGGGTCTTGGGACAGGGTCTTGGGACGAGGTCTTGGGACGGGGTCTTGGGACAAGGTCTTGGGACAAGGGTCTTGGGACAGGGTCTTGGGACAGGGGTCTTGGGACAGGGTCTTGGGACAGGGTCTTGGGACAAGGTCTTGGGACAAGGTCTTGGGACAGGGTCTTGGGACAAGGTCTTGGGACAAGGTCTTGGGACAAGGGTCTTGGGACAGGGTCTTGGGACAGGGTCTTGGGACAGGGTCTTGGGACACTAGTCTTGGGACAGTAGTCTTGGGACAGTAGTCTTGGGACACTAGTCTTGGGACACTAGTCTTGGGACACTAGTCTTGGGACACTAGTCTTGGGACACTAATCTTGGGACAGTAGTCTTGGGACAGTAGTCTTGGGACACTAGCCTTGGGACAGTAGTCTTGGACAAGAGTCTTGGGACACGGCTGGAAAGTACTGGGACGGTACCGAACAGTCTTGGGACAGGAGAAAGAAGCCTGGGACGGTACAAAGAAGAGTAGGGACGGCAATTGGAAGTCGTGGGACAGTGTAAAAATTGAAGTAAAATTACAAGAAGTGTTTTAAGACAGAATTAAGATAGAACAAGACTAATTGGAACCAGGTACGGTTGAGACCACAAATAAGGAAAATTTCTCGAAAAGTTAATAAAGAGAACTGAAACAAGGTTTTCGCCACGTTGTATATTTTTTTTCTTCCTTCCCGAAAGATTTTATTCTTAGAATAGGATTGTGTATATAGTAAAATTGTAAATAAAAGCAATTGTAAATAGAAATAATGAGGCGGAGCAGGGTACCGGTAGCTGAAAAAAGACCTACCGAAGCAAAGTATAATTCGTCGCTACGCAAAACAACATCAATGGGCCCAAAGATAACAAAGAAGAACTTTTCAGTTAACATGGTCAGCACAAGGAGTACAACGGAGAGAGCAAGAGAGGGCATGGAAGGGGAACGAGTAGAACCCACCATCGAGATTGATCTAGAGACACCTGATCAAAGTGTAGATGAAACAAGGAAAATAGCGACGGAGTCAACTCCAATGCCCAATGCAGAAGAACCAAACTCGAAA